TCGAAAAAGAGATCAGATGAGTCTGGCATGACTTGTTTTTCATAAATCCATGTTGACTATTAGCAATGACCGCATTTGTTTCTAAGTGTTTGCAGACCATTTCCTTAACAATCTTTTCCAGAATCTTGCCCGATATAGACGTGAGGCTGACCGGACGGTAGTTGTTTGGGTCATCCTTTTTTCCCTTCTTGAAGATTGGGACCACATTGGCCCTCCTCCAATCTGCTGGAACTTCTCCCGTTCTCCAAGAACTCTCAAAGATGGTTGCCAATGGTTCCGAAATGACTTCCGCTAGTTCCTTCAATACTCTGGGGTGTAGTTGATCTGGCCCTGGGGACTTGAACTCATTAAGAGCGGCCAGGTATTCCTGGACGACTTCTTTCCCAATTTGGGGTTGGATGTCCTCCAACCCCAATCTCTTCTCATCTATCTCTTGACTGATCTCTTCTCATCTATCTCTTGGCTCATTATCTATTTTCTCTCTTGGCTTGTCATCTATTTGCTCATTAATTTCTGCAGGTGCATCCCCACACCCCTCATGGACATTATCATGGGAAACATGGGATCTCCTGGTCATTCTCTGCATCAATATCACTGCTATCTTGAAACTCATCTTGAACCTCATTAACACCATTCCCTATATCCAAAGCACCCTGATCCTGAAACACAATCACAGGCTGAACTCCAACAAGTACTTTATGTTGAGTTATACCTGCAATCTCCTGCAAAGAATCGTTGCCTTGTCGTGGTGCTGGAGCTTGAGCACCTCGATGATGCCATGAGTGAAACTGTGAAGGGATACCAAAGACAGAAAGGTCATGGCAGAGAGATCAGACCAAATACGATCCCTGAAGAAGGTAATGGCAATCCACCCCAGTATTCTTGCCATGAAAACTAAATGGGTCTGTACAACCAGAGATATGTCAATATACCATTGGAAGATGGGACTCCCTGTTGCATCCCAGATCAGGAAACGAGACCATAAGATTCAATCCACCACACTGGACTGTGAGAAAAACAATCCTTTTTTATTGATGAAAAATGGTTACAAAAGAAAAGTAAATGCAAAGTCAAAAAGCCACAGTAGAAACTCAGCAGTCAGGAAAAATCTTTGAACTTGAGCAAAATTCCAAAAACAACAATACAGACACCAGGAACCTGTTAGCATCACTAACCATACTTGAAAACTAGAAGCCTCTGGGAATGCAGGCCATGGAACGCAGGAAAACTGCCAAGGTGCTGCCTCAGTCTAAAACGTTGCTTGATCTAATGAGACAACCGGGGGGAGGCCCCTTAAACCAAAGAAACTATTTCTTGAAACGCCTCCAGACTTTGAAGCCTCCCTCTCCCGTAATCCATTTGACCTTCGTAGAAACCGTGATTCACTCCTGTTTTTCCAAATCTGTTCCCTTCGGTCCTCATTAAAAAACCCAGGTGTGATTCCCTCTGGAGAGCTATCACGGCCTGATTCCAAAACATTCTCATCAGGCTGTTCAGTTTCACTTTCCCCGCCACTGACTTCAGCATCAAGGGTTTCAACACTATCAGGGAAAGATACATGTTCAGTGGCTTGCTCAGTTGCATCAGGAAATACACTCAGAGAATCAGGTTCACACAGAGATTGAGGCTCAGTTTCACACGGAGGTGGCTGAACCCCAACACTCCCAGGTTGGAAAGATGGTCAAAATGCTACTGGGGAGGAACAGAGGGTAAGTTCAACTAGCCCCAGATGTGGAGAAGATAATGATGCTGGGAAAAAAATGGAAGGAAAAAGGAAGAGGGGCAGACCAAGGACGAGATAGATGGATGGTATCTTTGAAGTGACTGCTTGACCTTGAAGGAGCTGGGGGTGGCCACAGCCGACAAGGAGCTCTGGTCCATGAGGTCACAAAGAGTCAGAAGCGACTGAATGAATAATAATAAAAAACACCTGCAATCCATCTTATACAAAGGCTAGCTTCTTCCAGGCAATCAACCTTTCCCAAAAATGGTAGCTAAAATCCTGCATTGCATTGGTAAATGTAATAGAAATAGCTAATGCTATGTCTATTCCTCTTTCCTTGAACATATTGGGGATTTTCCAAAAATGTTTCTAAACTGTGGATAAAGCATGCAAATGAATTTCCCTGAAAATAGCTAATAGACCATTGCTGAATTCTGTGTTTTGTATAAGATTCTGTGGTGTAGGGCAAAACTATACAAGAACCACACTAAATCAAAACTCAAAGTAAACGATGCTTATAGATACAAACTAAGTACAACAATTTTATTTCACTCCTAGATTCTTAGAGTTCCCAAACTATGTTGTAAGGGCAATAGAGGTTAACCGTTGCCCTCCAGCAATTGGCATTTATTAGCATATTTTAAAATTAAATATGGATAATTAATCTATGACTAATAATTATTGATGTTCCAGTTCTCACATCATATCACTTTGCTAATCTGGTGTCTGGAAGAAAAATCCATATGTCTACAGGTCATGCTTTGACATTCCTTGATATGTACCAAAATATGATAGTTGTACCCATACCACCTGAACAGTATAGGTTATTTATTTATTTATTTATTTATTTATTTATTTATTTGAAGACGGCTCGGAAGCTCCAGCTAGTCCAACGCTCGGCAGCCATGATACTAACAGGAGCGGAGCGCAGNTTGTGAAGTGTTGTCCCTGTCAGGGCTATCCCCTGCACACTGATCAAGGATGAGCCACTGATCAGTATCTAAATACCGGGCATCCGATAAAGAGGACAAATTGGACCCTCTACAACAATTATGAGAAAGAAAGAAGTAAATAAGAGGAACATTTTAATGTGGAAGTAATGGAAATATTGTTAATTTTTGGAGACATAACACCTGATGAGGAGATGAAAGTCAATTCTTTTTTTAATTTTAATTTTAATTTTAATTTTTAACCTTTTTTCCTATTTTTATATTGGATTTTTGATTTCTGGACTCTTGATAGGTTTTTACTTTTTCTTTACTTTTTCTTTTTGAACCTTAGGGGGTGGTGGTGGTGCTTTCTATCTTTTCCTACTGTTCTGTCTTCTTCTAAATATTCACCCTCTTTCGTTGTAATTTTCAAATATTTCAATAAAAAACTATTTTAAAAAACCCAGAAACTTCTTTTCTAACTAACTTCATATGTCCCTGGACTGTTGAAAATTAGGGACCTTTCTATACTGCCATATAATCCAGATTGAACTGGATTATCTGAGTACACACTACCAGTTCAAAGCAAATAATCTGGATTTTATCTGGCAGTATAGAAGGGGCCTGAGACTTGAGAGAGAGATGTTCAATACCCAGCAAACCATGAAATCCCCATGAGACTAATGTGCAGGCACAGAAGAGGAAGGTAACTATGAGCTTGAATAAAATGAAGAAGGAAAACATAACTAATATGACAAATGCTGCTAAATATCAGACTGAATACATACTCTCTGCTATATAAATTGACACAGCTAGGAGTATGAATGTAGTTGAAGATGTTTATTCGAGATGAACTCAGAAGAGGAGATCAGGCTACCAAATGATTTAGCTATAGGTAGGGGCAGCTGAAGCAATAGGGAAGTTAAGCATTTGCATATAGCATTAATCCCCGAGGGGTGCTCTTGAGGCACCCCCGGGGTGGGGCGAGGGCAGAGGGAGGGGCAAGGCTTCACATGTGCCACAGAACACCTGGGCATTCCTGGGGTGCCCCCCTCCCTCCCTCTCCGTAACTCCCGCCTCACACGCGTGAGGGACGTAACCACCCTCTGAGCAGTAGTTTCGCCTTCTCCGTCCCACTTGCCAGGGGGTCTCGCCATGGAGAAGGCGGGCTTGTGTTGCCTGGGGAGGTCCTTCCTGCACCGGAGTGAGTCTGAGGAGTCCGAGGTGGACTTGCTGCCTTCCCTGTGCCCAGGCATGTAGCTGGGGGGGGGGGGGCTTGGGGGGCTTCAGCCCCCCCCTGAAATTCTCATGGTGGTTCATGAAAAGGTCTTACTGGTGCATTATTTAAACTGTTATGTTTATTCATATCATGATCTGATCACCATACTCAATATATCCCATACGTATGGGGGTATTGGGGTAACGATGTAAAAGGTTTGCTAAGGTAGACCCTCTTTCACTCATACTCAGCCCCCCCCGAAACAAACTCAGCCCCCCCCCCCCGAATCAAAATCCTGGCTACGGGCCTGCCCGTGCCCTTCCCTGGCACTGGAGCCACGGCAGGAGCATTGCCTCAGTGTCAGCAGCCAGGCCAGTTCCCTGGGGGTGCACAAGAAGTGCTCGGGGTTCGGCCCGTGGCGCCTCTGAAGGAAGGAGAGCAAGGAGCTGGCCAAGGCCAAGGTCAGCCAGCATGCCCATCCTACTCACCGCACCTCCCGTTCAGCACCTCAGAGCTCAGCACACCCACCAACAGGCCCGGGCCTTCCTTGCAAGGACTGTCTCTTCAGGGAGGAAAGAGGAAGGGGGGACTTCCAGGCTTTGCAAGGACCCTCTCTCAATCACTTCAGGGAGGGAGGGGCTTCCAGCTCCAGAGAGCCCAATTCTCTCTTCCTCTTTCTTCATGGACCCATTAAGGCAGGTTTGGGCCAACTTGGGTCCTGCTTCAGGTGTTTTGGACTTCAACTCCCAGAATTCCTTAAGCGGCTGAGGGGGAAAAGGAAGGGGCCTGAGGCTGTTAGGAATGCTGGGTGTTGAAGTCCAAAACCCTTGGAGAGCTTAAGTTGGCCCAGGCTTGCTCTAGATGCAACTGCTCTTCCTTCGGTAGAATCTCTACCTTTTATTTTTCAGCTATTGGTTGGGGGGGGGGGGTGGTTGGCGCCAAAATACTGTTTGCTTACACTTGAAAATTACTTAGGGCTTGCCCTGGCTATAGGTTCCAGAGTTTCAAGGCAAAGATTCTGAGAAAGGTCTGCTTCAGAGTATGGAAACAGCCAAGCAGTTGGGAAGCCCAGTGAAATATGCCACAAAATGTTGCATGCAAAATAACAACCTTTAGGCAACGCACCTACCTATTAACAACATGAAATGTATTTCTCAATGAAATGATTTCTTCATGCAGAGAAGCATTCTTTTCCTCAATAGCATCCAGAGCTTTAATTTTCACTTGAAGATTGCTTTGTAACTTCTATAAAAAAAGGAAGAAAATAAGTATTATGAGTTAAGTATATGATGTGAGATTTTCATATATTTGGAGATTAACATGGTGTATTTGCATTTTCCAAAGCCAAATGGAGTAAAACAGTCCCTTGAAATCTTAATCATTAGATTTGCCGAGACGTTTTGCTCAAGACCTTTAAAACATGGCTTTTGCGTTGTTGCAATGAATATTTTCCTAATTCCCACAATATTACAGCATTTCACAGAAGAAGACTATGAAACATGTGGCCAAGCAACATCAGATTGGGATCAAGATGGTAAAAATTATTAAGGAGGAAGAACAGACAATGCAGTGAGGCTACAGAAATCTGCTTTTGCCTGATCCTACTCATACCAGAAAGATTGTCCCTTCTCTAGCCTTTACCATGCTGAAGACCACTTATGCACTTTGAAAACAATTTGTACCAGTTGAAGTAAGCTGAGTACAAAGAGAAAATGTGAAAGGAAGAGAGGGAAATTGGGACATTTTATGAGCAATAGATAAAGTAGACTGACAGAGGAGTAAATGGAACTGTGCCTATCAAATTGGGACAGTTGGACACAATTCACATCATAATGTTTCATCATGCCTTTCTCCTCCAGACTACCTTCTCCAAATGTGCAAATGCAAGATACTCCATTTAGGCAGAAAAAATGAAATGCAAAGATACAGAATGGGGAATGCCTGGCTCGACAGCAGTACATGGGAAAAAGATCTTGGAGTCCTCATGGACAACGTTAAACATGAGCCAACAATGTCATGCGGCAGCAAAAAAAGCCAATGGGATTTTGGCCTGCATCAATTCCAAAGTATAGTGTCTACTAGATCCAGGAAAGTCATGCTACCTCTCTAATCTGCCTTGGTTAGAGCACATCTGGAATATTGTGTCCAATTCTGGGCACCACAACTGAAGAGAGATATTGACAAGCTGGAATGTGTCCAGAGGAGGGTCTGGAGAACAAGCCCTATGAGGAGCGGCTTAAAGAACTGGACATGTTTAGCCTGAAGAAGAGAAGGATGAGATAGCCATGTATAAATATGTGAGAGGAAGTCATAGGGAGGAGGGAGCAAGATTGTTTTTTGGTGCCCTGGAGACTAGGATGTGGAACAATGGCTTCAAACTACAAGAAAGTAGATTCCATCTGAACATGAGGAAGATCTTCCTGACTGTGAGAGCCGTTCAGCAATGGAACTTTCTGCCCCGGAGTGTGGTAGAGCCGCCTTCTTTGGAAGCTTTTAAACAGAGGTCGGATGGCCATCTGTCGGGGGTACTTTGAATGCAGTTTTCCTGCTTCTTGGCAGGAGGTTGGACTGGATGGCCCATGAGGTCTCTTCCAACTCAATGATTCTATGGTTCTGTGATTCTCATTGCTTTTCCTATGTACCTCAATCAGTGATTCACACCGCCACCAGTCTTTTGTTTTTAATTGTCTATGCTTCATGTGAATTCATGCAAAGAAATGCATTGAGAAATGCAACACTTTAAGTCTGGATGCCCCCACTAATTTGCCAGCCAGTGGTAGAGGAAGGGGATCTGAAGTGTGTTTGGTGGTAGTCCCATATCCTTTGGGTCATTTTATTCTTGATAGAAAGTGAAAAACATCACCTAAAGGCGATTGTACACATGACTTTATCAAAAGTGCCTCCACAATTGCCTGTTGCCCCATGCCCCACATTGCTCAGCTCACCCGAGTCCCCATCACATAGGGGGTAGTGTCTGCCATCTGGATTCCCCCTATTGATCCAAGACAACATGGTGTTGCACTCAAATATAGCTCAGCCAAGATGAATCAATCAACTGATTTAAGGTTTATTAAAGAAAGGTGTGTTCTATAGAAAAAGCTAGTTCAAAAATACTTTCCAGGGTACAAAATAGAAAACTGTTTCCAGGGTCTACATAAAAGGCAAAAACAGAAGGCCATCCCAAATACTGGCTTCAAAAATCCTTCCAAAATATAGGTTACAGTCATAATACATAGGAAGCCTCCTTTGTTGCTGTGGAGGTGGCATGCACTGCTTCACCTTCCCTTTTATGATGGAGCCCTGCCAGAAGTTGTAGCGCGTTGTGGGATGGGAGCCAGCGGACTCTGTCATAAAAGGATAGGTGAACTGCCGAATTTGCCCCCTTCTGATGAAGTTGCAAGTGCTCTTTCACATTACACAATTATAGTGCTGTATTTGCACTTTTACTGCAATTTATTCCGTCTTATGAAATTCTAGAGCTTGCAGTTTAGGGAGGGCACTTAGATTACTCCTCTGGAGAACTCTAGCATCCCATCTGACAACAAACCCTAGGAGTTCACTGGTAGGTAAATCTGAAGCACAATGCCATAATTATGTACTGTGAAAAGGACAGCTGAAATGACTACATGATTGCAACTCGGTCCTTTTTAGTGCCCCAAATTTCTTTTAATCATCTTTATTGTTGTTGTTTTTTACAAAAAGAAAAAAGGGAAAAAAGAAAGAAGTAAAGACGTATCCAAAAAAAGGGGGGGAGGGTAGAACAGATCGGGAGGTAGGGGTAAAGGGTGGGTGAGGGAGGTGGGGATAGTACACATAAATAGTGATGAGCCATGGTAGTGACTTCCCATTGAGTCCACAGGGTTACATAGAGAAAAAAAACTTGTTTCTTTTATTCTGTTTATATTTTACAATCACCTTCCCTTTTACTCTATCTGTATTAATTTCTTTTCCTTCAGATACCTTCTCAGCGGTTGCCAGTCAGTCTTCTTGTTATTTTGATCATACACCATATTTGCTAGCATGTCCATGTCCATATATTCCCTAATCTTAAGAATCCAGGATTCAAAAGATGGGAGTTTTTTGTTTTTCTACTTACTTGCTAGAATAGTCCTTGCGGCTGCCATCAAATAGTATAGTAATTTATCATTATTTTTCCCAGGGTCGAAATCTAATAAGTGTAGTAGATAATACTCTGGTTTCATGTCAAATTTAATCTGTAATTTTTTTTCACATGAGCATGTATGCCTTTCCAGAAAGTCTTCACTCTTTTGCATAACCACTAAGTGTGGTAGTAAGAGCCTATTTGTTTTCCACATTTCCAGCAACTATTACTTACACCTCTGTAGTATTTAGCTAATTGCTGGGGAGTTAAGTGCCAACGAAAAAACATTTTTTGCCAGTTCTCTATTATATTAGTTGATTTTGAGTATTTTATTTTCCTTTTCCAGATGACTTCCCATTCTTTTAACAAAATAGAATGTCCGAAGTCTCCTGCCCATTTCATAGAATCATAGAATCATAGAGTTGGAAGAGACCTCATGGGCCATCCAGTCCAACCCCCCTGCCACGAAGCAGGAATATTGCATTCAAAGCACCCCTGACAGATGGCCATCCAGCCTCTCTTTAAAAGCTTCCAAAGAAGGAGCCTCCACCACACTCCAGGGCAGAGAGTTCCACTGCTGAATGGCTCTCACAGTCAGGAAGTTCTTCCTCATGTTCAGATGGAATCTCCTCTCTTGTAGTTTGAAGCCATTGTTCCTGCATCCTAGTCTCCAAGGAAGCAGAAAACAAGCTTGCTCCCTCCTCCTTGTCGCTTCCTCTCACATATTTATACATGGCTATCATATCTCCTCTCAGCCGTCTCTTCTTCAGGCTCTTCCTGTAGCCTTTGATTATGTTTTGTTTTATTAATTCAGTCTCGGTGTCCCATTCTAATAGTTTATGGTATAGTATCCTTATTATTTTCTTTTCCTTTTTCATTATTGTATCCCATATCGAATCTTGTGTTGCCCCAAATTGCAAAAAGTTAAGGGTTTGCCTCCTTTTAGTAATGTAATAGAAAGGGAGCCATAGGAGAAATATTTTTGTCCATACCTATGTGAGTAACTTAGATAAACAAAAGCAAGCCAAATTGGAAGGCTACTGGAAGAGCCCAAGCTGAGAAGCCTTCCTTTTCACATCTCCCCAAAGGTCTTGCTTGCCAGGCCTTCATCAGCAGAATGACAGAATGTCTACAAACGGTCCAGCTCTGTCCACTTTTGCCAAGGCAAGCCTTTTTCCCCATTAGCAACCAGGAGCTTGAGCCAGAGTTGGCCTCAGATTACAGACAGGCAGAAATAGAAATGATGTGGAAATGTCATACCGGTATCAGCTGTTTTCCTCTTTAAGCAGTCTGTTATTATCTAGTCTACACCATAAATTCTTAAAAATATGGAATGCTAGCAAACCTACTACATTTTAAGTAAAGCATAAAATCCAGATGCTTTACCATGACAATTTATTTTGTTCCTTACACTTGTTGGTTTAGAGTCTTGAAATATCTGAAAGTAGCATTATAACTCATAAGTGAGCACACATGTACTGACCCACACAACATTTTAAGGAGACATTGGAAGGCTGTGCTTTTCACACTGCAATAATTTTATTAGGTGGATTGTATCCTGGGCCTGACAATGTTCATATCTAATAACCTGCTCCCCATCCCAAGGTAGCCAGTATTATTATTATTTTCTGGTTATATTTTTGAGAGGGTTGCACAGTATGCAGTAGCATACACTCCAGCATTTCCTAGTTTTGACAGTGCGGTGAGTGAATTAGAACCAGACATCCTGAGGAGTGAGGTTGAATGGCCCTTAACAAGACAGCAGGAGACGACAGGATACCAGCTGAACTGTTTAAAATCTTGAAAGATGATGCTGTCAAGGTGATGCATGCTATATGCCAGCAAATATGGAAAACACAATAATGGCCATCAGATTGGAAAAAATCCATTTATATCCCCATACCAAAAAAGTGAAAGGCTAAAGAATGCTCAAACTTTTGTACTTATTTCTCATGCCAGTAAGGTAATGCTCAAGATCCTGCAAGGTAGACTCCAGCAATACATGGAGTGAGAGTTGCCAGATGTACATGCTGGGTTTCGAAAAGGCAGAGGAATGAGAGACCAAATTGTCAATATCTGCTGGATAATGGAGAAAGGCAGAGAGTTTCAGAAAAAACATCTATTTCCATTTCAGTGACTATTC